AGTCGGACTCCAAGAGCCTTTATCAATACCGGTCCGGCAAGCTGACAGTGAGGATGAGAAGAATGGAAGGTGGAGTTTCGGGGCGTCCTCCTGCCCCTGACATGAGCGCAGACATGATGAAGAGATGTCAAGTCGGACAAGACTCGCCCAAGGCAGAGGGTCACACCAATGGTGGGTCTGGCGCTTGCTGACATGCTGCAGAGAAATCCAAGAGCATGCCTGCGGATGCGTTGGTGCTGAAGAAGGATCATAGCAAACTCCAAGAATCGCTCAAGCTTGCCCAAGAAAAGATTGTGACGTTGGAGGTTCGGGTCGGGCGCTCGCACCGCCTTGTGACAAGCCGAGCAGGCCAAGCAAGGGAAGCTGATAGAGCAGCTGGCGGAGCTCTCGCTCAAGCTGCAAGGTGAGTCAGGAGGGAGAGACTCGATGGGATGAGCTCAGGATGAGGTGCAGACAAGAAGTTCGTCCAGCCGTTAGACCTCAAGTCTGCCTTTCAGAGCTTGTTCCAAGGCTTCACCAACGTCCTCGACCCCTCTCAGCCAAAACGAGCCGGTTCCCCAGCTTTCTCCTTCTCCTGCTCTGCTCCTGCCCTTGTTTACCTCCTGCTCTGCTCCTGCTCATCCTCCTTCTCGCCTTGTTGGATCCTCAAGTCTCTCTAGGTAACTCGGGTGAGGAGAAGAAGGTTCGCTTCGCCTACATCGGCGAGCACTTCGCTCACTCGCTACTGAGCGGCTTCAGCGCCATCGAGAAAGTGGAGAAGAAGCATCTTGAGCTCCTGGTCGAGCTGGAGGAGCAGCGGGAGAGGCACCAGCAGGAGAGGATCGAAATTTCCCGCAAGCTTGCGGACGTCCTGTCGAGATGCGACAACTGCGACACCGTGGCAGAAGAAGTTAAACTCGACCTGCAGGAGGTCGCTGCTCGCGCAGAGGAAGGGAGGGAGGCAGCTCGGAGCGTGTGCTGTCTGAGCGACGAAGTGATTTCCTGCCAGCAAGGCTTGGACGAACTCCGCTCGCGCACTGTCATGCTGGAAGAGAGGAGCGGGCAATCTGAGGGGAGCAAGTCAGCACAGAGACAGGGAGATGTAAAGCAGGAAGGAGGTACAAGAGAGTGCGGAGAAGAGCATGGGGAGGAGGGGAGGAGCGCGTTGGAGGATCTTTCCTCGCGCGTGTCTCTCCTTGAAGCTTCTCTGGCAGCCTCTGCTCCCTCTCCCTCTCCCTCTATATCCGCTGAGGCCATCAACGCGCTCAGTGAGGAGCTCACAGAGAGGATAGAGGAGTCTGCGGCGCGACGAGACAGCAGCCTGATGAAGACGCTGGAGGAGGCGATGCTCTCCTGCGTGTCGCGCGACGACGTGCGAGAGAGTCTGCTGCTGTATGCCAGCAAGAAGGACCTCAAGGCGAGCGAGAGCAGGACCTGGGAGCGCATCGCCAAGGTCGAGGAGGAGGGAGCGCAGACTTCTGCGATGATCAAGCTGGCGAGGAAGGAGCTGGAGGGGATGAAGAGTAGCTTCCTCCTCTCCTCTCCTCGCAGGAGCTCGCGGCAAAGCTCTCGAGCCACGAAGAAGACTGTGCCGAGGCGGTAGACGCGCTGTCAGGCAGCATTGCACAAGTCTCGTCCGAGCTCTTCAAGTTTGCAGCAAGTCAGTCGGAGCTGTTTGTTCGACGCGACGAGCTCGCCAGCATTCGAACCTTGACGAGCAAGGCGGAGAGTGAAGACAACAGAAGCAGCGAGCTAGAGGAGGAGCGGGAGGGGGAAGAGACACAGCAGCATTCGAGGGAAGAGGAGGCAAAGAAGGATCAGGAGGGGAAAGGAGAGGGAAACTTGACGAGACAAATGGTATCAGCATGTGGGTATTGTTGACTTCATTGAAAATTAGCATTGCACTGCAGTGGTTTTCATCGAGGAATTTCAAATATGGACGACTGAAGACCACCCTGAAGACCATCAAAATAACAGAGGGTCTTGTGACTCTGTACGTAAAAACGATGATTCCTGCGTACAATACAACAATAAATCTATTACACTACTAAAATTTAAATATATTCCTATTGCAGTACAATGCTAATAATATCCAAATTAAAACACTTGAAAACACAATGACAAAATTTCTATTAAGATTATGTTCAATAAATATTAATCACCCATTGCAATAAATATTATTTCAATTAAAATAATATCCAATAAATATTAATCTTGAATCTTGTTGCCATATCAATGTAAATTAATGCTGCAGTGTGGTGCATAAATTACACAATGTAAAACGGCGGTATAGCATGAGCAAAGCGAATGCTATGATGAGCACGCAGTGCTCATCTATTCCATTGCAACTTGTGCTACACTTGTTATTCCTATTACACTAGAATACCAACAAGATTCAAGATTCAACATTGGAAAAATATATTATAACCCAATTATATTTATTGAACAAAATTTGAATAAGAATAATAAACAAGATATTTTTCTAATTTCATATCAATGTAAATCATTGCTGCATTGCGGTGCATAAATTACACAATGTAAAACGGCGGTATAGCATGAGCAACGCGAATGCTATGATGAGCGCGCAGTGCGAATCTATTCCATTGCAACTTGAGCTTCACTATTACACTCGCAAACCCTTGATTACAAGTCTTCAGTCGTCCATATTTGAAATTCCTCGATGAAAACCACTGCAGTGCAATGCTAATTTTCAATGAAGTCAACAATACCCACATGCTGATACCAAATGGTAGAATTCATACCTTTAAACACAGGCATGAATCCTTAATTAAAAAAATGAATCTGTTTCAATATCAGTGTCTAAAACATCAACAGATGCCTCCTAAAAAACAATTGGATGACCATATGCCACCAAATATTATCAAATCCGCTGATGCTCCTCTTCCTAAAACATTTATTGATTTAGAGATTCTTGATTAATTCATTTATAGAACTATTCAATAAAACAAAAATAAATCATATTTTTTTATACTTACTATATACACCTATGTCGTGCATGTTTTACACTTTTCCCACACATTTTAACAGCGTTACTGCATGAAATGCGGTGGGCAAGGCCCTATCACTGTTACACTTGCTAAACTTGATTACAATGCTTACCATTAATATATCCTTTCAATTATAGCATCACATCACTGTTTGTTTTCACAACATTTCAATAAATATCAACGAGCGTACCCACGGAGTGGCTTGAACAAACATATTATACATTTGTTTTCCTATTAATTATCTCAGGCATCACGAGCTTAAATAAGTGATGCTCCACCAATCAACCTATTGGAAATACATCTGCAACGATTCTCTCTTTTGAATGTGCGTGAACCTGTAACTCTATATCAACACAAATTTAACATTAATTATCAAAACCAATAAGTGCAACATTTTTTGTGTGGTGTGATCATGCACGCATATATACATCTGCAACCCGAATACATAAGCAACGATTCTCTCTTTTGGAAATACATCTGCAACTTTTTGGATGTGCGTGAACCTATAACTCTATAGTAACCTATATCATTCACACCAATAAGTGCAATCCGTTTTTTTGTGTGGTTTGATCATACACTCATATATACATGTGCAACCAATTGGAAATACATCAGCAACCTGAATGTATCTGCAACTTTTTGGATGTGCGTGAACCTATAACTCTATAGTAACCTATATCATTCACACCAATAAGTGTAATACGTTTTTTTGTGTGGTGTGATCATACACTCATATACACATCTGCAACCAATTGAAAATACATCAGCAACCCGAATGCATCCGCAACGATTCTCTCTTTTGAATTTGCGTGACTCTGTTAACCTGTGACAACTCAAATCTAACATTAAATATTAAAACCAATAAGTGCAACCTTTTTTGTGTGGTTGCCTCCGGCAAGCACAGCGTGTGATGATACACGCATATATACATCTGCAACCCGAATGCATCAGGAACCAATTGGAAAGACATTTGCAACCTTTTGGATGTGCGTGAACCTGTAACTCTATAGTAACCTATATCATTCACACCAATAAGTGCAATACGTTTTTTTGTGTGGTTTGATCAACAGGGGTGTCACATCGCTCGAGCAGCAGCAGCTGAACTGCGTCTGAAAAAAACTTGGAACTTTT